CCCCAAAACCCCAAAACCCCAAAACCCCAAAACCCCAGCTGGTATAAATAAATGATTGATTATTATTATTAAGTGTATATATATAGATACTTAGAAAATACTCACATGATAGAAGCCTTAATGTTGACACTGTAGTGCTTGCCAAAGAAGGTTTTATTGTGAATTTGATTTAGAATAATTGTGTTATGATGATCTCTGATTTTTTTAATAACGTTTTCTCCTTGAATGAGACCAGCCTTATCAAATAAGAAGTCATGCAATCTTTGAGTTAATTTCTTATCTTCTATAATAGAAGTCCTCCCTTTCTTTTCTTAGTCCATCGCATAAATTAGGAAAGTAGCGTAGTTGAAGTCAGAGAATGTCATCTAATCATAAGTAGACAAACTCTAAGTGAAGATTGAGTTTATCTCATGCTTTGCCACTATTGCTGGAAAAAATCCAATAATCTTCAGCACTTCATGGAATTATGGCGGGTTTATTCCTAGAGCTTTATTAGCTTGAGTTTTGTATGGATTTTATGCATTATTTTGCTATTAAGTAGGGTCCTCAGCAGGGTATTCCACAAATGATTCATATAGCTTCTTCATAAAAGAATCATTCTTCTTAAAGATTTACTATACTTCAGGCAAATAATAAGCAAGATCGGTTTCTTTAACCTTACTATAATCAATTAAAGTCTAATAAAGAACTTACTTTTCTTCAAAATAAGGTTTAATAACTTATAATAGGAATCTGTTGAACAGCATGTCTTCATTCGCTAGGAGAGCATTTGAACTTTCATTGTCATTGACTACTAGTTTTACCATTTTTCTAGACAAATATCTCAGGCCATCGACGAAATCCTCGTAGTTCATTTCAGCTGGTGTCTTATTCCTTATAACTTCGTAGAAAACTTTCTCTAAGTCAACTGTGTCAATAAAATGCTGCTTAAAGAACATCCTAAGGGACTTAGTAAACGAGATCCACTTGGAAAAGTTTATACTTGAACCATATTTGTCATTCATTAGTGAGACGTAGGCATAAAACTTCCTCAGATTTATAATATTTGAGAAAGACTAAATCTTTGATCTCGCTTGCTGCTCTGAAGAAGTAAAGTGGAGTATGTAGTTGATAATTTGCAAGTTCTATGCTCTTTAAATCTTCAGTTTATTTGAGTTCAAATTGGCTTGGATTGCCTCTAAATAATATAATATAAATAGAGTATTACTTTTAACAATATTTCTATGGTACATATTGTCTTTGTCTTTAGAAGTCATCATTTTCCCACCACTTGCATGCAAATTAACTCTAATGTGCTCTGGCCTGATAACTTCTGGAAGATGCTGCAAACTATCAAGGACCTCAGAAACTAAACTTATATGCATCTAATCTCTACCACCATCAGATCCTGCTCCTACACTGCCTCCTTTCCTTCTGGCAGCAGCTCTTTATTCTTACAGTACTTGCATTCTCCTTTCCTTTAATTTTTCTTCAAAGAAAAAGTCATTTAGTACTGAGTGATCAAGCAATCTCTCTCTGGTGTCAGGATCTGAGAGAACCTTTTCTATCAACATTGCCATTGCATCTATGAATAGGTATAAATATTTATTGATATAGCATTACTTTCATGAGCTTCTTATTTAGCCTTCAAAGCTTTAGATTTTTCCCCTGTTTTCACTGATTTTCGCCTTTAACTACTATCTCCAATATTCTGGTTATTAATGGGTCCTTGCTTGCTTATAAGCAACTTCTGAATGACATCTTTTTCTCTTGAAAACTGTATCTCCTTGCTAATAGTATCTAAAATCTGTTTATCTCCCCCTACCTACATTCTCTCAATGGCCCCCTCAAGTTTTTTCTTTTCTTCTAGATGTCTCCTTATAAGTTTTCGGTGTCTTTCTAAAGTTGGATTCTTAGTAGTTTATTGAATAGCTTCAGATGCAGATTAGTACTCCTTTGTCAATTTTGGTGAGCCAAATCCAAATATCTCCTCCTCGTCAGCGAACAAAGAGGCACTCTTTAGAAATGTAATTCGTTTCTTTTTTACGATGTCTGAAATCATTGAAATATTAGATTCGTTTCTCTTCATAACAGGCAATCTAAGTTAATTCATATCTCCGTAATACAAATTAGTATTAGGAGTTTCGTCGAATCCAGATATTCCATCAACGTTTTAGAAGTGAATTCTGTTCTCATTTGAAGAGCTATCATAGGGTGATGGCATGTACTCTTCCTTAACTTCAAATATGGGGCTTTGATTTTCATTTTCTTGATTCATCTTGTGATAGGCTATCTCAGCCAAATGATGATTGTCAGCATTATTCCCTGACAATGGACTTTTCCTCAAAGTTTGATTGTCCAGTTGCTGCAGTTTTATTTCGAATGTCTGATCAAGCAGGTTTTGATTAGTTCTTGTTTCACTTTCTCCCTCCGAGTCATCATCAATCCCATCATGGATTGCTAGTAAATTCACATCTTTTTCATTTATCACAATACCTTTTTTAGCGCTTCTTTCCACCACTCTAATTTTCTTTTCAGAGTTAATTTATTCGCATTCTTTGTTGAGCATATTGTACAAATTTGACAGCTCGTTTAACTCTTCATCTTGCACTAGCTTCTTTGGATTAATCAATGTAGACCTTCTTACTTAATGCCTACCTTGTTCATTTTATTGACTTTATCCCTCAATTTTATTATTTCTCTGCTGCTTGTAATATTAGTCTGATTTTGGATCTATAGTTGCTTTTTTCCTATTGCTTGACTGATTATATTTTTACTCACCCTACTACCTCTTGAACCTTTCTCTAAGTGACCTAGACATTTTAGATTCATCTGATGGGCTTTCTTAGTAAACTATATCAGATGCTGGTGATCTCTTATCAAAAGATTAATTATTTCTATCGACAATGATGGAATTTACAAGCTTATTATTTTTCCTTAATTGACTACCTCTGATTTTCTCAGGGCTGTTTGATGAATCAAAAAAAGAGTTAATTTGATTGCTTATATAATTTCCAAAACTCACATTGTTAGATTAAACATATTTCACTCTTCCTACTGTTGTTCCTGTAAGAGGTCTTTGCTTTTTGGAAGCATTAATGCTTGAAGAATTGTCATAGACACTCATTTTATATTTAGATTAAAAAGATAAAATTTACAAGTCAATTTATTAACACTCGGGGTTTTGGGGTTTTGGGGTTTTGGGGTTTTGGGGTTTTGGGG